ATATATATATCGCCACAGCCGCGAGCCGCGACTCAAGCTACAAGCTTCCCGCTATAGAAACGTCGATGGGCTAGACTGGGTCGGGTCGTATTCAACCGAGCTGATACTTGGAACCTACTCGAGCGGAACCAGGACAGCTAATTTACATAATAATTTATTATTAAAATAATTGATAAAAATATTTTATTTAACATTTTAATTTTTTGAAAATATTTTATATTCTAAAAAGCTTTAAATATAATTTAATAAATCAAAATAAATATAAATATATTATTTGTTAATATAATAATATAATCAATTCGGATGAAATTAACTCTTTAACTTGAAATTTTAAAAACTTGTGCAAAAATCTGGCAACCGGCCCTTGAACATGTCCGGCCGCTTGTGCAGGGCAAGAAGAGCTGTAAGCAAACAAATGACCAAAGCAACGGGCCTGATATTTAAAACATTAAAAATTATTTTATTTGTTTATAACTTTTATTTATTTTATTTATTCGGCCTTCTTAATTATTTTTTTTTATGTATTAATTTTTCAATTCATTTGTTACTATCATACACATAATACACTTGTAATTAACTAAGCTGCATTTAACAACAAACCCATACAGTTGAATTTAACTGTAAAAGTTTAACATTGTTATCAATTGTTTTTAAATATATAAAAATTAAATTTATTAAAATTATAAAATAAAAATGCTGATTCGAGATAGTAAAGAAATCAAATTCAGAATTTAACCTATATTTTTTCTATCCAGAAAAATGTAGCAAGCATACATTCCTTAACTTTTGAAATTTAATGAGATTCTTCATTTCGTATTTCCAAATTGTTAGACATTTTCCATATAATTTCTCCTCTCAGAGTATAAATGTACGGGAATGACAACCATAGAGCAGATCCATAAATCATTCATGCTTTTTAAAAAAAAAAAAACTAATGAGTGTGAGCAAATATTAAACAAATATCATAATAATAATTTAAAATAAACAAATAATTAAATGTCTTTTTGCTTGTGGAAGTGCTAACCAAATGAAGTCAATGATGCGTTATGCAGAAAATATTATGTATGCACTAAGTCACTAACATACATATACATAAAGGGTTCCCCCAATGAACACTGGCAATAATGGAGCCAGCAAGAGTTATATTCTTCGTTGCTTGACGATACCTCTTCTAACACTAACATTGCTGTATGCATAATTTGACACATTTCTATGTAGCACTAGCATTGAAGAAGCATGCTATTCCACTTATTTGCCACCCTAATTTTTCAACCCTTCCATCTTAGAGTTTCAGAAGCTTAAAAGTGTGCCTCCATCCTGCAATGACAAGCCAAATTATCGCAATTTTGTAAAGGATTTCGTTAACTAGTGTTCTAGAGATACTTGCTTAGATTCCTATATAAGGGGGAAAAATCATTCAATACATCGGAATAACAGCACTGAATTGAATTAAAAATATTTCAAAAAAAATAAAACTTTAACAAGTGCCCTCACTCTTGGCCCTTTATGAAATTCTTTCACATAATCATAGACTTAAATATATTGAAAAGTCAGAGAGTACAGTTCATTTACCTTCCCTAATCATTTTACTCAAGGGCAGGGATAATGAGGGAGCCAGTGTTGAGCACCCTTGGCAAAATCTGTGGCATTGCACCTCATGCAAGGGTCAAAAAGAGGCTAGAGAATAAACATGAGAAACTACATATGCAAGGGCTACACACAATACTTAAGCAACAGTTAACTTTAAAGATAGTACCTCGCCCAGTCGTGCATTCAGTTTCAAGGATACAATATCATCAGCACGTGTCGTACCGATATTCACGATTGCAGTGGTAGCACCTGCCTTGTGAGCAGCCCTGTGAAACTCAAAGACCATTAGCTGCAAACTAAATCCTCTAAAATAAAAAACTATTTACCGTCCATAGACCTTGAATAACTCAAAACAGGGGAAAGTTCCTACATCAGAATCCAGAAAATAAAAGTAACAAACTTGACGACTGGCTCTTGCAGGAAAACTTTGAAGTGATATATTACGTACATGGCAGCCAATCAGCCAAAACTTAGTGTTAAATAAATTATGTTCAAATAAATAGAATAGAGAACCAATTATAACTGAACCAAAGATTTCATACAAACATTGCTGATTAGTAACTTGACTTTTGTTCTTTGGGTGCAAAGTAAAATGTTACAAGCACAATATACCTGACAAGCCGGTAAGCAGACATGGTCATCAAAGATGATCCTAGTACAAGGAAACCATCACATTCTCTTGCAACTTCCATGGCCTTATCAGCTTTTTCCTTGGGCACATTGTCTCCAAAGAATACAACCTTGAAGGTGAAATACAAAACAGAAACATCAAAAAAATGCCCTAGTATTTTATTTTCATTTTAAATGTACAACTAATCAACTCAACTCAAATTAATCTCAAACTAGTAGGCCCAACTACACAACAAAAATCCATTTTTATTTTCATTTGAATGTACAATTACAAAAACAAACATCAAGACGGCCAAGGCAACGTCAGTATGAACAAAAATTGAGAACAGAAAAAGAATAGTTTCCGCGAACAATTAGAACATATCCAAAAGAGTAAATCAAAACCATAATCAAACAGAAAGGTATTTGAAGATGATGATGGATATGATACCTATGCAATGGTTCAAAATGAATATTAATTAAATCAGTTAGCCTGCAATACATCCAAAAGATACCAAAATATTTCCAGCACTCAGATGATAGCACAAACATCCTATCTTAGTATATATCAAACTACTTGCTACTTGCTGAAGAGATGAAAGCTAAAGGGCAGCTGAAGATGATCCTCTCCACTGAAATTAACAAGACCCTTTGAGGAGACATGTTTTCCTTTCAATTAAAGAACTTTCAAGCTGCCTTTAGATCGTTATACTTATGCTTCCCATTGAAAAGGTACGAGAAACTACACCATCAAAAGGACGACTTCGAATTTATATGAAGCAGGAAACAGTATATGGTCATATATAGAAACAAAAATGATAAAAAACGAAATGAGTTTTGGACCTTTCACTTTTGTCCTTTGTACCAAAAGTGGGGTAATTACTAGAAACCAAATTTCATCTAGCTCTGAAAAAAACCACAATTCTTACTGCAAATAATTCATTTTTCAGACAAGGCTGTGCCTGTCAAGAGACTATTCCAGGCTTAAACCATCAAACCCCCCCCACCCCATCCCCCCACCCCCCCCCAAAAAAAAAAAAAAGATTTACTTGCCTACTGTGCATAACTTGGTCATCTCGAAAGCTTTAAAACATATATACTTTTTGTAGCACTTCTTCATAACGATCATGTCGCAAATATAACCAGCACTGGCATATACTAGACTGCTTGATAATTGTGCCACAAACATATACCAGACCCATATAATCTTGCACACCCGAGGATTACATTCATAGTTTAATGAAGTATTTGCAGTTATAAACACATTTTAAACAATTCCTCTCAGAACTTTAAAGAAAATTCATAATATTCATTATGTTCTCAATAGCTTTACAACATATAAGCTTTTTCTAGCACTTCTTGATAAAAATCATGTCACAAATATAACCAATACTTGCATATACTAGATTCCTTGATAATTGTGCCACAAACATAAGCCAGACCCTCATAATCATGCACACCTGAGGATTACATTCATGGTTTCATGATGTCTCTGAAGTTATAAACACATTGAACAATCCCTCTCAGCACATTAAAGCAAATTCATAATATTCATTATATTCTCTGCTCACCATACTGAAAAGAGAAAAGTATGTCCAGGAAACAGGAAATCATCACAGTTACAACACTTTAAACGTTGATTATTCATAACAGCAATGTGTTACACATCAGGTTTCGTAAAAGCAAAGAATCTTACATCAGGTTTCAGGGTCCCCTTGCATCTCTGGCAAGTTGGAATGTGGAAATCCTCCTCCCAGAATTTCTCATCAATCTCAATGTCTCCATCAGGCCTTTGCTTCATGCCAAAGCTCTTATCTGATCCAGGGCTGCCATGGTCCAAGCTTTCAACTGCTGCTGCCCACTGCAATAACAAGTATCATTGCCTGTTCCAGTAATGAAAACAGAAAATGGCTTTGCACCCAGGTCAATCAAAGGCTTGAGGAATTCTATGTGGAGATAGCATCATACCAATCAGTTACAAACAATAAAAAGGTAAAATTTTCCCCAGTGGTCCTTAACCTTACTATAAATTTTCATTTTGACCTCTAACCTCTCAATTGTTTATTTTATATTCCAAACCTCTTAAATTGCTATAATTTAGTCCTCCTGTTAGATAGTTTGGTTACAAATGGACAGAAGGTGCAGTCATGGAATACAGCCTTACTGAAATTTGGATATTTCTATTTGTTTTAACAGAGTTGTTGGACAATAAGACATTACTGGAACAATTTAAAGAGATATGGGATATAAATGCAACAATTGAACGGTTAGGGGACTAAATGAAACTTATCAAATGGTTAGGGCCTTGCAATGCAATTAACCCAACAATAACACAGCCAGGATCTCGTTTGGCCCAGCTAGACCAAGCTTCTAATGAATCATGTAAAAATAACTTATTTAATCCCTAAAGAGGCATGTTGCCCCTGCGGCACAGAAAGAAAAAGAAGGAACCAAAAGGCACAATTTAAGTAGTTGTATGTTTTACTTATAGGTAGATGACCATAAAGCAGTATGGTATTGGTCCAACTTTCAGTTTCATGAATTAAGAAGGTAATTATCACAAAAAAGAAAAAAAAAACCATTAGATATTTCTACATCTACAAATTACCTAAAAAAATTGAATTACCTGACTGTGTTCATACTTCATTATGTTTGCTTCAAAGGAGAGATAATTTTCAGTGGCATGAATATAAGCTGAAAATAATGAGCAAGGTAAGCTGCCTCACCCCAAATCCAAACCTTATTCCAACAAGAATACTTTTAGAAATTAATTATTTCCAGAATTTATATTCAGTTTAACAGATTTCAAGCTAAGTTTGTCAAACACCTTATAAATATTGCATCAAGATTTTAAATTATGTGGTCTTGAAGTTACTCTTTCGGTATGATCCATCAAATTTGCAAACCTACAAATTAGCCATTGCCACTCCACCTCCTCATTTCCATCTTTGTCATTTTTTTCTTTCTTGTGAGGGGATTAAAAGTGAAAAACAATAGCTTGAAGATCACTCATTTTGGTTGAGTCACCTGACTCCATGTTACGAGCATAATTAACTTGATACCAGCTGCAGAAAACTGTGCAAGTAGACCATAGTGACAAATCTAGCTCCTTCCATTTTTTAAATTTTATGTCCAAGACCCATAATGTATGAGTTCACTTAATCAGAACTTTTATTACTTAAAATCAAAATCCAGTAAATAAAACAACGCATATGAGGTCAATTATTGAGAATTTCCTAAACTTGTTCAGAGTATTACAATATTAATAATGATGAGAATAAGAGGATTGAGGGGCATTTTTCAGGGTGATTAATGTACAAGACTAACCTTTGGATTAAGGGCCTTCACTTCATCTTGAAATAAATTTCGACAAAAGGAAAAACCACAATCTAAACAAATCACACTATAAACAGTTCCATGCAATTCAAGTGGGTTGCTCCCAGCACGATGATGCAGCCTGAAGCATCATCTTGATAAATTAGTGCCACTAACCTCACTTATGAATAAAAGATAAAAGAATAGCGGTTGTTTACCTGTCAACATTCTGTGTTATCATAAAATTTATTCGGCCAGCTTTCTCTAGGGATGCCAAAGCAACATGAGCAGCACCAGGTTTTGCTGCAGTAAACCGCCTCCATCCAGCATAGCTCCTTGCCCAATACCGCCTGCGGGCATGACTTGAACGTACAAACTCCTGTTAAAAGAAAATTAAAGATAGAAGTTATAACTATAGACATTGGTTATAAAAACACTTACAGAAAAACAATTAATAGTTAGTGAATTATTGCTAAAATTTGGTAAACAACACTTAGATTATTGACATATTCAGAGAAATATGTCAGGAAACTATTCTTTTGAGGGATTTTGAAAACGAAATAAGATGGCATGTATTCCCCCCTCTTTAGACAAAGGAAATTCAACAATGCAAAAAAAAAATAAAAAATTGTTACGATGTGAAGTGAAATTTTTTTATCTTTATTCTTTATAAAAGACAAGTAATTTTGATGCTGTGGGATAATGGTTACATTGTTATGATGTATATAAACCTTAGTTAGAATTAGCAGGAGGGAATGGTCCAGACATCTATGATGCTATTGACCGGAAAAAAATACTACCTACGAAAAATGATGGGTCGGTAGATACTGAGATAATACATATTCACAACTGTGTTTCACTAAAAGTCCAAAACATCAAATTCGATGTCCTTCAAAATGGACTGATGTAAAACTTCTAGAAAACCTTCTTGTGTTTATCAACCCACAGAAACAAATAGAAAGTTCTGAGAACGGAAACATCCTTTACAATATTTCCTCTCTTTTCCAGTAGTCTCTCTGATAATAAAATCTGAAACCAATCAAAGAGAATCTTCTGAGATGTCAAGGAATCATATCAAGCTATGGAACTTTCCCTATAATGTATTTGCTCTAGACTAGACAGCCACTCTCATTTCTCATTGTTCCATTCTTCTTTGTGTCCTTACAGCACTCAATAGTGAAGGAAACACTTGGTGTCATCACAAAGTAAAATCAGTTGTAAGCGTGAAACACAAGAAGTTAATTTTAAGCAAACAATTAATCAAAAAACTTCAATTCAAAAAACTTCAATTCAAAAATTTTCAATTCATTTTCTGATTAGCATATTAACTAAACTCTACTGTTTATTTGTTCAGTACTAAAGTAGCCAGCTTTCACAGCACATGCCTGCAGATCACCTGATGGGTAATTGGCTTGAAACCAGAACTATAAGCTCCATTTGGACTGCCAAAAAAAAAAAGAATTCCATTATTGAAAATTAAATAGATAGACATTGACATTTGAAAAGGAAGGAAATAGAGAAAATAGATTTGGAGAGAATTTTTGGCGTGAATGATATTAAAAGAATATGAGTCATTTACTGTTTAGAGGTTGACACTGTTATGAGCACAACCAAATGAGTAACAAAAAGAAAAGTTGTGGACAAAAATGTACCAATGTGAACAACAAAAATGAGGCAATTGATGAACAATTGGGTCTTCACATAAGTTACTAGTTATTTAATTTTCAAAAGGGGTTTTGAATGTGTCTCATTCCTTTAAGTATGGGTATTTTAGGGCACTTGTCTAACTCTGGTTTAAAACCTAAACATTTCAAACCCGCATTTGAAAGTTATGGTTTAAAACCTGGCAAAGGATTTCTACCATTGTTTGCTACTGTTACTTCTCTCCTCAATTGGTTCAGTAAAAAAACCATCTGTTATCTACCTTTTTTTTTCTTTTCTTGCTACATCATCAATTAAAATTCTTTTCTTACTAACAATTGCCAATTATCCAAAGTGCTGTACAATTTGTACAAATCTAGTGCACGCAAATGAACACTCATCCAATTTCTCATGGTTGGAAGCCATGCATGCTGTGCTTAAATGTGAATGAAAAATGTAAGCACTTAAAAGACAATAACTATTCAACAGGAACATCTGTCAGCCATAATGAAATGCCACTGAGGAAGAGTATAGTATAGAATGAAGAGAAATTAAAGAATAAATAGCAATGATCTGCAACACTTTACCTGCTACTTCTATGCCTTCATGTAAAACTTTAAAAAAATAAATAAATATAATCAACAAAAAAATTACTAAGTTAAAGATATAAAAAATTTAAATTTTATAAGAAATAGAAGGCCAGAAGCCAAGGCAAAGCCAGATGCTAGAGTTTTTTGAAATACTGCTTATTGAAACAAATAAGATTAATAACATTAGGGACCATCCTCAAAATAAAGAAAACAAGAGATAGAACCTTCTATAATCAGGAATCCCACATTCGGTGCTGATTCCAGCTCCAGTCAATACCACAAGCTTGGTGCTGCACAAAAGAAATAGCTTTCAAATATTTAGTCCATTCAGAAGAATTATATTACTGATTGTCTGACTACATAAAGAAACCAAATCTGTAAAAGCAAATATTAGAAACACCTTTGATCAAAGAGTTGATACAAGCGACTGACGTCTTCAATACTAGGAGGATCTGCATTGGGAACCATCTTCCTGTCTTTCAAAAATTTTGAAGGCACTTGTGTCTCTCTTCCTACTGAAACCCGAGGGACAGATATCCGGCATGATGTCTGTACAAATTTTACAGAGCCATGAAAGGATATGACCCTTCTTCCTTGGCTAACTGATTGTTGAAAATTGCCACTTGATTGAAGTATATCTACAAGAAGAAATGCATTTGCAAGAATATGGTGTCAATTGTGCAAGCTGCACTTAACAGAACGATGAAGGCAACATGTTATATGATGCATAAGACTAGAGACTACAACAACACCTGCCTGTCAAAACACTTCCAAGCACCTCCCTTGTGCTTGTAGAAGCCTGCATAATGAACATAAACAACATTGCATCAAGAGCTCCAATCAGAAATAGTGAACAATCACATGATGCAATAATAAAGGACCACAGTAAATGGTGCCAAGTTCAAATGCACAAGTTTGTATACTAAGAACGGTCATTTGCTGCGCTAAGAATAATATGAATTCAAAACCCAGCTTTAGTTACCACCAGCATGGACAATGTTGTGGGGGAAGACTGTACTAAAAGACATGGTGTTGTGGACATCAAGCACCACATGTAAGTTGCGCCTTACAATCAAATAGCTCAAACGTATCTTACTATTTTGTTTTTTCTTTCTCACTCCCATATCGACTTATCGGATGCTTATTGCCAGAGTCATAAGGTTACTAGCTAAGCTCCACCTGACAGGATCAACAATCATTTACGCTCATAGGCTAACCTTCTGGCTTAATTAGAATAAAGTTTTTCACAGCATTCTTCCGTAATATTAGACAGAAAATTGATACGCTATTCATAGACCTTAGAGGTTAAACTGAAGATGAAATTCTATATTACATAGTCACATAAAATGTGGGTATTCATTGGCTTTAAAAGGAAGAGAATTAAATATGCAGCAATGAAGCAGACAATAATTGAATTAAATAGCATTTCTTCGCCTGAAGTAACTAGAAAAGAAAAAGAAAAAACAGAATTCTAGCTTGAATACATGAAATTGAATTAAGATTCAGTACAAGAGCAAGAAAGGGATGAAGGAAATGAAGCGAAGGAAGCTTACAGAGATAAAGGGAGGAGAATGCCATGGCAACCGCGAGAGCATGGTCTTGCGAATCTGGCTGATTTTTTTTTTTAAACTTCTTTTTATTTAAATGAACAAAGAAGAAAAGGAAGAGTTTGGTTGAGCCTCCAATGCAAGGAATTGAACAATGGTAGTTTGTCGTGTTCAATTTTTTATCTTCTTTTGCATCAAAATCGTCCATTCCATATCCATCCACGTTTCACCCTCCGAAGTCTCTCCCATTTAAGTGTCCGGGAAGTTGGACTTCATAGTTACTCGTAACAAATACAGTAACGATTAATAAATCCAAAAATAATACGAACTAGAGAGCATCCAAATTTTTACTTTAAAATTTAGTCATTATTTTTTTTTTATTTTTTTAATTTAAACCATTTAACACATCAAAAAAAATAAAAAAATTAATTATTATTTTTTTTAAACTTTTGGAAATCAAATTAGATAACCCGTCATAAAGAATAAATATTCATAAATTTTTTATAAAAAAAATAATAAACAATCTCAAAAAAATTGTGATCTTAATAATTTAAATTTAATAAAACACATAAATTTTTTTAAAAAAAATTAAAATTATTTATGTGCTTTAATGAAAGATATTAAAGAATCATGACAGATATTATAGGATAATGGAAATCATGACAAAAATGTTGAGGATCATAACAAATATGACAGATATGTTGGAGATTATGATAGGTACTCCTTGACTTAGTAATATAATTTCATGATATAATTCTCTTAATTTTCATAATTATAGGACATTATTATACAGATTGTTTTCTTTTTATATTGATGCTATGACTTGTATATAAATTGATGAATATTAATTAAATAAATCATTAAAGAAAGTATTCAGACTCTTTAGAGTATCAGAGCAAGGTTACAGGCAACCTAAGCTAAAATTCTCTAATGGCCGATAAGATTGGAGAAAGGGTAAGTAAGGGTAACGATAATTTGGTATCCACCATAGGTACGACTACACTAAACAGTACCATGGTCGATACCAAATCGTCTTATTATTTTCATCCCTCATATCATTCTAATCTAATATTTGTTACATATCCACTGAGTGAAACTAGGAATAATTACTCCATTTGGAGGCGTAGTTTCTTGAATGTTTTTCAATCCAAGAACAAAGCAGGGTTTGTGGATGGATCGATTACGAAGCCAGAAATCAACTCCTCAGATTTACAAAGTTGGATACAATGTAATGCAATAGTACTATCTAGGCTAATTAATGCTCTTTCAAAAGAATTGTAGGGAGAAGTAGTACATATAAAAAATGCAAGTGAAATATAGGCAGATCTCCAAGAACGATTCATTTAAGGCATTGCACCTAGAGTTTATGAGCTCAAGCGAGCAATTACGCTTTTGCAACAGGAAAAGGTCCCAATCTCTACTTAATACGAAAAATTGAAAGCTTTATAGAATAAAGTACAAACCTTTCGACCTTTACCGGTTTGCACTTGTGGAAAGTGCACTTATGTTGTCTCGAGACAAATGCAGGAAATGCATGAGGGAAAAAAGGTGTTTGACTTTCTAATGGGATTGGACGAAAGTTATAGAATCGTGCCCTCCTAAATTCTTAGCTTGGAGCCCATGCCGACTATTGGACGGGATTATGCAATTGCAACACAAAGGAGAAGCAGTTGGTAGTGGTTGCATCACGATCCACAGTGCCCAAAGGAGCTACTTTGATGGTGAGAAATCGAGCAATCGACAATGCAAGGCATGGCAGTGGGCAAAAGGTATGTGATTAGTGAGACCATCGTGGAGGGGAAAAGACACATCCCCGTTGCACTCACTGTGACAAAACAGAGCACACTCGTGTTCTTGTTACAAGATTGTGGGCTACCCACCAAATTGGTAAAGGACACAGAAACCCAAGAGAAATCGGACAAAAACGCCAATGATGGTGGCTGGGAAGCAAACTCGTGCGTTTGCAAATGAGGGAGAAGCATACACAGGTCACGGACCTTATTCATCTGTGCCTAGGTTCACATAGGCCCAATACCAGCAACTGATGAATTTATTGGGCCGACAGACAAATGTGTCCAACTTTAATATTGGACCAACAGTCAACATGGTCTCAAATGTCCACAACACAAATTTTTCTAGTAAATCATCTGACAAGAACAACTTGTGGATAATTGGTACTGGAGCCACAGATCATATCACTCATCAAATTGATAGTTTGTTCAACATGCTTAAAAATTCCAATATCCCACCTATCCAAATTCCGAATGGTAATATTGTGCCAGTACATGTTGTGGGCTAAGTGAATCTTGGGGCCAATTTAACCATGGATAAAGTTCTTGGCGTGCTTGATTTTTGTTTTAATTTGCTATTTGTGAGCAAAATAACTCGTGACTTAAACTGTCTACTTATTTTTGGACCTGATTTTTGTGTGATACAAGACTTACTCTCGAAGTAGCCAATTAGAGTAGGTAGAGTGCGGAATGGATTATACTACTTGGAGCCAATGAGGGTGGGTAAGGTTTTTTTGGCTAAAGGCAAAGATAATGCATTGCTGTGGCACCATCGATTGGGGCACATTCCTTTGGATCGTCTTTCAATAATTCTAAATTTATCTCTCACCTGCATCGAAAAGGACAACTTTCTTTACGATGCTTATTGTAGAGCCAAACAAACTAGATTGCCTTTCCCAATTCGTAGAAATAAAAGCGTACATGCCTTTGATTTAATCCATTGTGATACTTAGGGGCCCTATCACACCGCATCCTTTTCAGGAGCACATTATGTTGTCATTATTGTTGATGATTATAGTCGAGCAACATGGGTTTTTCTTATGAAGCATAAATCAGAAACTAAAAATCTCTTGCTTTATTTCTTCTAGTGGGTCAGGACACAATTCAATGCACAAATCAAGATATTGCGAACAAACAACGATTTGGAATTTAAGCATGAAGATTTGGTGGATCATTATTTTGAGCATGGCATGGAAGGACAAACCAATTGCACAAACACACTTCAGCAAAATAATGTGGTGGAACGTAAATATCGCCACCTTTTAAAAGTAGCACGAGCACTTCGATTTCAAGCCAACCTTTCCATCACCTTTTGGGGTGAATGCATACTCACTACAGCATATTTAATCAACTGCATGCCACTCTTAGTCATAAACAATCAGACTCTGTATGACAAATTGCTTGGTAGACCTCCGTCATATGATCATCTCAGATATTTTGGATGCCTCTATTACAAACATGTCAACAACAAGCCTCGTGATAAGTTTACCTCTCGGAGTAAACCAGAAATCTTTGTTGGCTACCCTTTAGGGCAAAAGGGATATCGCATATATGATCTTGAGAGTAAAAAGATATATGTTTCTTGAGATGTGCAGTTCTGGAAAGAAACATTCCCATTTGACAAAACGAAAGTTAATGATTCAATTACTAAGGGTGCACATCAACATACATAGACCATTTTTTTCAGTCCATTTGATGAACCGCTTGGACACTTAAGCCTTGAAAGTACCTTGCAGTAAAAGCCAATAAGCAATTCACTAATGTCACAACATTCGGAACAAAACCAGGAGGTCACATCATCAATGTACCCCAAGAAGAGTCTACCCATTTGGAAAACAACATCAACCAAACTGATGATTCTAACTCCCCTCCGATTGAGCCAAAGATGGCAATACAAGAGAATAGCGTTTCTTCATCACATATAGAACAACACAATGTTATTCCTATCAAATGATAGCGATAAGTATCGAAGCAACTATTCAAATATGATTATATTTTGGCCTCTTCACTTGTTCCTATTTGCACTCTTCCTCTCCTTCAACCAACTAGATGATATATCCCTTATTTCACAATATTTTTTATTCTAAATTTTCTAGAGCTCACAATGTGTTCATAGTGGCCATTTAAACTGTCTATAAGTTAAAATCATTTTTTTAGGTAGTCAAAATACAACATTGGTGTGATGCCATGACTAAGGAGATATCTGCCTTAGAAGCAAATAATACCTTGACTTCAACTTCTCTACCTTCGGGAAAACGAGCCATTGATTCTAAATGGTATTATGAAATCAAATACAATCCAGATGGAACAGTAGAATGTTATAAAGCAAGGCTCGTCGCCAAGGGCTATACATAAATTGAAGGGGTAGATTTTCATGAAACCTTTGCTCTAGTTGCAAAATTGGTCACAATACACTATCTTTTGGCTATTGGTGCCATACGTCATTGGGAGTTACACCAACTGGTCTTCAATAATGCCTTTTTACATGGGGATTCAAAAGGAAAAGTCTACATGAAAATACCTTTAAGGCTTTGCCAGAAAGGGGAAGCAATGTGTCTGTCGACTCAAGAAATCTCTATATGGACTTCATCAAGCATCACGAAATTGGTATCAAAAGTTCACTAATTCCTTACTAGCCATTGGATTTGTTTAATCGTATGCCGATCATTCTTTATACATGTACTATGCCAAGGAGTCATTTGTTACAATATTAATCTACGTTGATGACATTATAGTAATAGGGACTGATGAACTCAAGATTTCCCAACTAAAGGCTCACTTGGATCGTGAATTTTGTATTAAAGATTTGGGGAAGTTGAAATATTTTTTGGACATTGAGGTGGCGCATTCTCCATCCAACATTATCTTGAGCCATTGAAAATATGTGCTTGATATATTGGCAGATGTTGGCCTCACTGAATGCAAACCTTGCTTCATCACTTATCGACCAACAAGTCAAGCTCGATCTTGATGAAGGACCACTTTATTCAGATCCAGGGCAGTACAGCGGGTTAATTGGAAGATCATTATATTTCACCCTCGCAAGACATGATATTAGTTTTGTCGTTCATGTACTAAATTAGTTTATGCATTGCCATGTCAGCCTCATTTCAATGCAGCTCTACATGTTCTTAAATATCTTAAATGGTCCCCAGGCCAGGGTTTGTTGCTTCTTACTAATAGTCAGTTGACCCTCAGAGCTTATTATGATGTAGATTGGGCACGTTGTCCAACAACACATCTTCCTTGGTTCGTCTCTTATCTCATGGTGATCCAATAAACAGTCAGTTTTTGCTCGTTCCTCCGCAAAAGCAGAGTATAGGGCCATGGCCATGACAGCAAGTGAGATTGTATAGCTTCTTAGATTATTGTTGACCTTCGAATTTCACACCCACCACCATCTTTATTATTTTGTGACAATCAAGCTGCACTTCACATTGCTGTAAATTCAATTTTTCATAAACGTACCAAGCACATCAAGATAGATTGTCATTTTATCAAACAACACATATAGTCCAAAATCCTTGTTCCACGATCTATCTCATCATAATTTCAATTGACAGACATTTTTACCAAGGCTCTTGGACGAAATCGTTTCCATGATTTAATGGCTAAGTTGGGCATTACTAATCTTCATGTTCCAATTCAAGGCGAAGTAATGAAAGATATGAGAGAATCATGACAGATATTATAATGAAGGATAATGGGGATCATGACAGATATACTCCTTAACTTAATGATATAATTTCCTAATCTAATTCCCTTAATTTCCTTAATTATAAAATATTGCAACCTTTATTTAAGCATTATACTTTATTATGCAAATTGTTTTCCTTTTATATTGATGTTATGAATTATATATAAATGGATGAATATTAATCGAATAAATCATTCAAGAGAGTATTCAAACTCTTCACACTTGTCACTATTTCTACTATTTTTTATGAATTTCATATTATTTCAATCTTTTATTATATAAAAAAAATTATTTTTTACATATACGGTAACATTTTTAAACTTCTCAAACATTATTATTAAAAAATTAAGTAATATCATATTGAAGTGTATTTAAAAATTTAATTAAATAAATATATAACATTATTCTAATTTTATTTATAAAGACTATATCACTTTTACATTATTCATGAATATTCAAAGTACTCAAATTCTGTCACTAAGCAACAAAATAGTATTGCACTCTTATCTTTTTCTTTGAGCAAATCAAGACCGAAATTTATCGCTTTTAACTAAAAGATTAAATTGGAAAAGCTACGATTTATGTCTTTAATTGTTATAAATTGATATAATTTGATTTATTTTTTTTTACCTTTTTTCATTAGGAAAACTAACAACGTGCGCTCACTACATCTGAAGTTCAGCCAGTTCATGCTTGATTTACAGGCCCCTAGAAGAAGTATCTGAAGTTCAGGCATCAGCCATCAGCCACGGAGTGAAGTGTGAACGTGAAGGTAACTATAGTCTGATTGCTTGCTGCTCTGGCTAAAACATACAAGGAACAGCAACAAGTATTTTCATAACGAAAGACAACTGGAGGAATGCAATGGAAGCTAAGGCTAAAACCCCATCGGAGAAACCAACAATCTTAGTTCTGCTGGGTACCGTTTTCTGTCAGAACTCAGTACAGCACATACATGCATTTGAAGCACTGAAAATCCATACAGATGTAATCAAAGAACAGCACCGAAGAAACAAACAACCAACGTCATACACATTTCCACCTTCAGGACTTGACATGAAGTGTGGGAATCAGTGATTATTTACACTCAATATGCATCTTTTTGGTTATACATTTGCTCTTGGAATAATTTCCCGAGAAAACTCAATGACAAACCCTGGGATAGGTAACCAAACCAGCCCATTGACAAAAATAGAAACAAGGGCTACAAAACAACACGAAGTCAAGGAGGGGGGAAAGCTCTTGTAAACAACCTCTCTTCCAAGACCCATCTAATCTAATGCATAAATTAAACAAAAAAAATCAAAAGAGAAAGGGGGTAGTGGAGGGGAGGGGACAGAAAAGGATATACCAAAAAATCACATATATTGAAAACAAAGCACAGTTGCGTTGGGATGGCTAGGCAAAGTTTGATCAGCGGCTCCATCTTCCTAGCAAGTAATCTTCTGTTGGGACGCTTTGTTCATTGCTGCTTACAGAAAGTGAATCATCCTCCATGTCTAAAAGAGCAAGGTTAAGATGGGATTCGATATTAGTAGGATATACTTCCCCATCAACCGTATCAACTTCTTCTGATGCCCTAACTTGTTGCCTTGCCCAATTTGTTACTTCCTGGTCACCCTGTAGGAGCTTCAGGATCTGTAGTCAAATAAGATTTGATAAGCAAAGAAATGGATTCAAATAAATATAATTGCAAAGCAAAAGAAAAATGTCAGTTCAAAGTAGCTTACAAGGCTAATTTGAGGCCGCATTATAGGTGCACGTCTGATGCACAGGGTAGCAGCTAAAATCATCCTTTCTATCTGATGAAAATCATAGCCACAGCCTAGCTGTGGATCTAGCAACTGGGAAATCTTGCTGTCCTTTAAAATTGGCTTTGCCTGGATGTGAAAATCAGACATTACCAAGAGTTAGAAACTGACTCACAAAATAATTGGATTAAAACAGCTTGTACTTTGACACTTTCGGAAAAAGGGTAAATATAAATGAATTTCAAGCATGATGCATTCGAATTGTCATTTGTATAAACATTGTGAACTACAGATAAAGACACTGAATATACTTGTCTTTCTGAATCATAACATTGTTTATCTGTAAATTTCAAAATTATGTTTAAAGAGATAAGGCATAGAGCCAATAGCCTTAGATATGAACTCACCCACATAACAAGGCTCTCCTGACCTTTTGGACAGTGATTGTCAATGGGCTTTCTACCAGAGAGGAGCTCTAGAAGAACGATGCCAAATGCATAGACATCAACTTTATCACTCATTTTGCCATGCATGAAGTACTCAGGAGCCAAGTAACTGCCACAGACAAGTGTTACTGAGCCTGTCTAAAGTGAGCTATAAACTAGAGAAATTCAGAACAGATTACATACCCAAAGGTTCCTGCAACATCTGTGCAAGTCATATGAGATGCAGAACTTGAGACCTGACTAGCAAGTCCAAAATCTGACAGCTGAAGAAGAAGAAGAACTAGTAATGAACACAGAAAGCTTAAACCGAAAACATAAGTTTGAAACTTAAGCATTTAAATATGCTACCTGGGGCTCAAAATCATCCAACAGAAGAATGTTGGAAGATTTCACATCTCTGTGGATCACAGGTTGCTCACAACCATTATGTAGGTAATCAAGTGCTTCAGCCATGCCAACAGCCACCTTGTATCTCTCCTGCCAGCCAAATGCATTGCTATCCTTCTTATTACCTTTTAACAAGAGCAGCCACTTAGGGTTACGAAGGTACTAAGTTGAAAATTGTGTAAATTATAACCAATTGCAGGAAGGAAAAGATTCAATTTAACAAAACAAAAGGCAGTAAAATTGATAAAATTGTGTAAATTACCATGAAGATTCTCTTCTAGGCTTCCTCTGTACAGAAAATCATAAACCAAGAGCAACTTGTTATCCTCAAAACAGAACCCAAATAAGGAAATGAGGTTTTTATGGTTTAAGCTGGTAATGATCTCAATTTCCTGAACAAACTCCTTGACTGCAATTTCAGTTGGCTTAAGGATTTTCACTGCCAGTTCCTTGCCATCAGGAAGGCACCCTTTATAAACATAACTGCTACCACCTTTACCAACCATATTCTCTACAAAATCGCAAAATAAGAATCATTAAAATGAACACTCACAATAAGCCAAACTCAAGATTTTTTCATGAGCAGGTAATGAAGAACAAACCTGGCATAAAATTATAGGTTGCTTCCAAAAGCTCTTGGTAACTAAACAATCTACACGAGGATGAGTATTTCTCATGTAGACTTTGCAGCTCTTTAGGTAAGTTGCGAGGAGTCAGAGGACGGATGGCCTCATAGCCAACTGGAACAATTGCACCATTTTTTCCGTCCAAATCAGAAGAATGATTCTTTTCTTGATCAGAATGGTTTTTCCTTTGATCAGGATAGACAACAGCTGAAGAATGCTGGCTTGGCAATTTTAACACCCATTGGACCATAGATTTCTTTGCAGCAGAATTCTCAGAGCAACGCTGCTTAGGTAGAAACACCCAGCGGAGAAGAGACCAACCAGTTCTCGAATCAGGCAGCTCTCTAACCGAAATGGAATTAGCTTCCCTTGTTTGGAATGGTACCAAAGCTAAACTATTATCGACATTGCCATTTCCAGGTAAATCTTCCGACAATAGGGCATTAGAATTTTCAGGCAATTTCAAGGCTGAAGCACAGGCTGCACAATTCTTCTTTACTGATTTCTGCATTAAAAGCAATCCAGATTTATAGGAATAATTGCCATTTTCTAAATCCAGCTTCCCTGTTCTTGTACTCTTCCGCAAGGAAACTAAGCGAACAAGACTCTTACTAGGTGAATCATCCTCTGCTCAACCAAAATGTCGTAGAAAATAAGTAAGCAGAACTCAACATCACAAACGGAAGTTTTCTAAGGATTTGAAACTAGAACAAATTAGAAGGAATCTAAAAGCATTGAAACAAGCATCACCTTGGGACCGATTCGAGTTTGTATGACTTGCTTCCCTTTGGAACACAATTTTGCCATTTTCAACAGCGTAAACCCAGAAACATTTTGGCAATTTTCTGGCGCAATATTTTGCAACAGAGGCTGATGACCTTATCCGGTGATGAGTCTTGGAAGTTCCAAGAATAAGCTTAGCTGCTTCGTAGGACTTGGCTTCCCTTACCAAAATCTTCTTTGCTGATGATCCTCTACACACTTTTAGCTTCAAATCAAGCTGCACAACTTCCCACCAATTTTCAATAACCACTTTCTACAACTTTCCAAGAAAAGAATATGAAGAAAAACATTGCTAATAATTTTACCTGCTTTAAGTTGCAGAATCCTTCATAAACTGCTAGTATAGAATCAAATGTCTTAACAAGGGACAGAATCGACGACGTGCTCTCTGCCAAAATAGGAAATAAAAAATTCACCAAGAAAATTACTCCATGAAAAAAGAAAAACAGCTAGAAATAGAACAAAAAGGAGAAATGCGGAATGCAAGGAGAATACCGGTGGCACTATCAAGGATGTGAAGGGCAATGATATGATCACCGGCTGTGCCACCTTAACCAGCGCCCACGTCAGCAATTCCTTGCTCTCCCCGTCGAATTTGACCCCCACCAACACTGTGGCTCCTCCTCCTTCCCCGTCCGCTGTCTCCCCGATCACTTTCACTCCTAAGCGTCGTCGTTTCCTTTCTGCTGCGATTGTTAACCGATAACAGAAATGTTCCTCCAAGCAAAAAGAGAAGGAAGAGAGAATGAGTTGTGAGAGAGGGATAGAGAAAAGAAGTTTCACTTTTTGTCACTGTAACCTTAGCTTTTGCCTGTGCGCTCTCACGCTCTATCTTTCCTTTTTGCCCTTTGTCTAATAGAAGAATCATGGCTTGCAGTGCACATTGCGTGGCTCTATTTTTTTGGGAATAACTGCTGGGGAGAGATATTAGGGTGTTCCCGTTGATATTGTAGCCGTTGTGATCAGGTGGGATATGAACCGTGGGATAATCTGGTGTTGAAAATGAAGTGGGTTATGGCTACGTAGGCATGGACTTGGCTTTAGGGAGAAGGAGGTGGGAGGATGGATGTTTGTCCGTTATGACCAATTACTTGTTGGCATAATAAAAATGGCTAAAAAACTAAAAAATTGGTGGAATCCGACAAATCCAGACAAAACGTAAGATAACCCCAACACAACAAGGCAAAGAATCCAATGAGGCATTGGGCAGCTGTACGTCGGTTCTGTCCTTTCTCCCCACCAACTGTTATTACAAAACCAGTGATAATTTACTGTCATAATAATATTTGAAAAAATATCTAATTATTTAAAAATTTTAAATAAATTCTTATTATCTTATTAACTTAAATCAAGTTTTTTATTTTTAAATTTTTATTTTAATTTAAATAGACTCATATAATTTATTATTGATAAATTATTATTAATTAAAATAATAATTTTTATTGACGTGAAAATAATGTAATATAAATAAATTATTATTTTATATTAACATATTACATCATTACATAAAATGATATGTCAACATGTTACATTAACATCATATCTCATAAGAATTTATTTAGTTAAAAATAAAATTATAAAGATTTAATTTTAACATAATAAAAAAATAAAAATTTATCCAAATTTTTATAAATATTATACTTAATTTACAATAGAATTAAAATGAAAATCCAATCCCAACATAACCAGAGAAATTTCATGGTGGTAAGTATGTGAATGGTGCATAACCCCTTGGTGTAAACTATGTATAGGGTGTCCACACATGTACTTGACATATTAAATAAATTTAAATACCAATTAATGTTGATATTTAAAATCTTTTATAGTTGTTTTCATCTAAAATAAAAAAGTCTACCATATTTGATTTGTGACACTTGCATTTCTAGGCAATTAAGTTATTAACTACATAATGATAGGGTTTTTTTTATATATATTTTGGGGAAACTACATAATGATAGTTTTTGATTTAATATTTCAAATTTTTTGTTTAGTTATTACAAATTTACAAATCCACAGTACATGTGCATTAGTAATGGCTATTGTTTTTCTTTTATTGTCTACTTTCTTCATAGATAGAAAATAAAATAGAACACTTTAAAAAAATTAAATGGAATAAAGACAAAAAATATATTAATTAATTGATTGATTTAAGTTCAAATTGAATTATACTTTTATATTTTCTAATTTTAATTTAGAATAATGACACTTTAAACTATCTAAATAGTATATTTATGTCCATTTAGTTTTATTTTTTTTCTTTTAAAGAAGATTTAATATCATAATGAATACTTTTTTATTCATTTTACTAAATATAATCAAAAGTTCCATCATATACACATAAAACTTTTTAAGTAAAAGTTAAATCTATTAAAATTTTTTTGCAACAATAATTTTTTACTGATATTTAAGGATTAAATTATGAAGAAAAACTCTTATGTATATAACTATTATTTATTAATATAGAAAATTGAGTCTTGAGTAAAGGTATCTAAAAGTTAGGTTACTCGGCCAAGTGCATATTGGTTTGATTTGAACTCAACTTAAATATAAATTCTTAGGTTCGAGTTAGGCTCAACCTAATTTAATTAAATTAGGTTATTAATAAATAACTTATATTTACTTAATACCAACATAAAAGAATATGTAATTAGAGAGATTGAATGGAGGTGGAAGCTGACGATTAAAAAGAGAGGCGTGAGGCAGCCCGAATGATTAGAGATGTTTTGTTGAGGAGAGATGCTAATAGTAATGAGTTTTCGTAAAATTTAATTTAGTTATCATAACTTCATAAATGATATAATTAGATACCATAATAGCTCTATGTCTTTTTGTTCCCAATCCTAATGTAATTATCATTTAAAATAAAATTTAAAATTTTAGCATGAATCCACAGCTTGCAAAAAAAAGCAGGAAAATGAAATGAGGAGATAGGCATATACTAACCCATGTGCAATTCCTACAGGAATTCAACGGTTTGACGAGTATTGGGAACACGAATATGATGCATGTAATTTGAAGCCATAAATAATGGAAATTATCAATTTAATTTCTAGAAATAAAACTTTTAATAGAAATGTCTGACACCGACAATTGAACCCATAATATTTGCTGCAAATTCAATACGTGATCACTGTTTTATGCATGTGCATCTGTTTGACCAATTCCATTCTTTCGATTTTTTTTTTGCTTTTACATTGTTTTAACTTTTTAATATGAATGTATATATAAAAGAGAATTAACTTATGATATGAGTCATACACGTATAAAAGATGTACAAATACGATTTGTACAAATAAATGTATAATCCGTACAAATACGATTTGACCAATTCCATTCTTTCGATTTTTTTTTGCTTTGACATTGTTTTAACATTTTAATATGAATGTATATATAAAAGAAAAAGAATAAATATTCACAAGGAATACAGGAAAAAGAAACACTCAAACTTGCAAATTAGCTGTGCTTACAAAGTGTCAGAAATAGTCTGCACTTGACCAAACTTCAAAGCAAGGATTTTGCAGAAGTTAACAATTTTTGGCATTTCAATTTGTGTGAGGCCTATAGGCAGAAGCAGCTAAAGATAGAATCACTACTTCAAATGATTCTGGATTATCTAAGCAAGATGAAAATTAGCTTTGAAAATAAAAAATGAAAGGTAACACAACATAAACAATAAGCAAAAGGTGGGTCGAACATATACTTAGCAGTAACAATAGAATACACCTACATAGGGCTTCATTATGATAATACCAAAGAAAAATTAAACTAAATATGATGCAAGCAGAGGCAACCTCCAGAAGGAAGATACTAGCACATATATATAAAGAGAAAAAATTAACAACACATCAGACACCTTATCAGAATGACAGTCTTTATAAAGCCCTTTTGCTCTTGTCATCAACAGTCGCCTTATAGTGAAAGAACAATTAATGGTTTTCTTTTTCTTCTTCTAGTACATTAAGAATCCACTAAGAATGCCAGCTTGAGTCACGTTATATCAAATATCAATATTACAAACAGAGCAAAAAGGAAAGAGGAGACAAAGATACCAAATTGCCCATGCCACCAACAGCCTCCTGCTCACCCGATGGCTCTTCAGGGCAGTAGGTGATGATGCTTACTTCTTCACCTTTTTAACAAGCATAGTTACTTCCTGCTAGAAAACCATCAAATTGACAGATCATGGGTGCCCGATTGCTAGGGCAATTAGACACATGGTGTAGCTTATTTCTTTTTCCATTCACATAACACAAAACAAAACAGTTTCTCGGTCCAGAAATTTCACAGTATAGTTTCTTTTTCTCTCAAGTTCCTTCACCATTCCATGATACTATCAGTTCACCTTCATAGCCTGAGAGATTAATAAAACCTTAAGACGTGTGATGGCTATAGATAATGCATAGACATGCATAAAAATCAAACATAAAACAATTTTTTAAACGGTCTCCACAAAACACATCATTTCAATAAATTCCGATTATAAGCACCACTCTGATTTAAAGAATCCAGGCCAGCCTTACCATGATTCTCAATAAACTAAGTTGAGATGGAGTTGACTAAACTTCTTCCATGCACACACTTTAAATGGAAAAAGGTAACAATTTGAAGCAGAAAAATGAAGAGCAATTTATCTCAAATATCAACGAACACCCAGTATCAATGGTATTAGTAGTTCACCTTCATAGCCTGAGAGATTAACGAAACCTCAGGACATGTGATTGCTATAAATAACACATAGACATGTGCTAAACTCAAACATAAAACAAATTTTCACATCAGTCTGCACAAAACCCATTATTTCTATAATGCATTACTCTCATTCAAAAAATCCAAGCAAGCCATACCATGATTCTCAATAAAACTGACAGACTTGAAATGGAGTTTGACTAAACAACTTGTATACCACACACTTTTGAGGGGCAACAAACAAGCTAACAAATTGAAACAGAAAATATAAAAGGCAATTTGTCTAAAATATCAACCAAAATAGTAGGACCAGTATTCAGCAACTTTCATTTGCCTGTCACTACCTCCACCAAATTCCACCGACACCAATAAGATAAAGAGAAGCAGAGTATGAGCCTTAAATGTATATATATCTTACAAAGAAGCCTGCATCAAACATCCATACCTTCAAAAAATCTAAACTTATTCCTCAGTTATCTGCAAACATTAGTATATATTTGGTAGGACAATCCAAACCAGAAGTAGCACACATAATAAGCAAACTAGCACGCACAGGTCACAACTACTATTACCTTCATCAATTTCATTTTTGCAGTCTCACCACTGCTTGGATACACATACATATTGTATGTTATACTAAATAAGCTGTAAATTCGTTCATACTATTGTTCCATTACATACCCAAAGGAAATGGAAAATTTAGATTTAAAGGTTGTTTACTGCAATCTTTCTTCAAATTGAATTTTAACAGTCTAAGACAGATAAGATGCAGAAACAATAAAGTAATATTCTGTGGCGTCTCCATGATCAAGATACATAAACTGTTTGAATATTCATACAATAACATAGACCATCAAAAGACAAAGATTACACCAAAATTGAAAGCTAAATCTGATGCCACATGACAAAAATAAATGATGATATCTAATGTTTCAAGAACAAGAAGCTGTAAAACTTCACTGACAACCTAGTTTACTCTGTAGCGTTGAGTAAGACAAATCATTGTGCTGATAGAGTTTTCTTCTTTTTCCTATCCCTGGTATTGATGTCATTAGCGCCTAACTTTTTTAGTGCAGTCTTGTTTTTCTTGCTCAAGACATTGTCAGTTTTGTTTTCATCTTTTCTCTTAGCCCCAGAGTCAGTGTCATTGCTATTTTCATCCATGTATTGAACCTCGTGTATCCTCCCCTTGCTTTTCTTCTGTTTCTTCTTCTTTTGATGAGAAGCATCTTCTTCTTCTTCTTCTACTACTACTTCTTGTTTTTCCTCCAAGACATCCTTAGAAGGGTTATCAGCTTCAGCCAGAATCTTCAAGCGCAGATCAGGCACAGCCTGATAAAGAGGGAGCGCCAAGCTGTCAAGCAACTTCAAATGAAACGACCTGATGTTGCCCCACTTGCTGGGCACAGTCTCAGCAATACCACGAATAGCGGCTATCACATTGTCAACAATCTCCTTCTTTTCCATCGAAAGCTTCCCCACCTTCACCACGCTGCAAGTCCCGGTACTCAAGAACAACAGTGCAGAGGCACAACCCTTTTGAATCTGCTCCTTCCAGTTATTGTGCTTGAGGTCCACTGGCACTGGAATCTTCTTCTTTTTGAAAAACTGCTTCCCCAATAGCCGAGGCAAAAGCGGGAGAATCCTCTTATCCGCAAAAAACATGTCGTAGGAATCGCAGAGCTTTCTTTTGGCCTCGAAGGCCCGATAATCCGTCTTGAGCTTGGACAGCTTGATCACCTTGCTGATGGGTATGTTTTCGGACTTGATTTTCTTGGAAGCAGTGTCTTTGGTGAGGCCTGACTTGGAGCGGTCATCGATGACCAAGCAAAGCTCGGCGGGATCCGTGGAGGGATCGATGAGCGGGTGAGGAAGAGGCACTTTGTGAGGATTAACGCGGGGCGTTTGAGGAATTTTCTTGAGACTGACAATCAGATAGAGCAATTCATCTTGCTCGAGAAGTTGGGGCTTTTGGGAATGGGACTGAGAATCTCTCCATTTCAGCAGAGCATTCACTGCTTTCTCCACGGTTTCGGAACTCACTCCGCATGAAGATGCCGATGCCGCGGCCGCCGCTTCGCTCATATTCTTCACCATCTATCTCTCTGCACACCAATGCTGCTTTACAATTATTTGTTAGGGTTTTAAGTGTGATCAGTTGTGGTTAGGGTTTTAGCAAGGGGAGGTAGAGCGCGCTTTAACCGGTTACACAGGTTACCGATTTTCAATATTTTTAATAATAGAATTAAGTGAAAAATTCAATAATTTATGCTAAAAAAAGTTATAAAACTATATTTTGTTATTTAAAATGACTAATTGGTTGGGTTTTTATCATTTTCTTTTAATTACGTAAGCAGAAAAAAAGGGTGTTTGAATACAAAAGAAAAATAAAATATTTGAAGAATTATATTTAAAATATATAATTTTTCAAACAATAAAAGACATGATTCTATTATAATATATATTAACTATATTATAATTGATATTGTATTCTAATTATTTGTCCATATAAAATCAGTCATGATATTAATTTTTAACTTTTACTTTTGTTTTATAACAATTTTACAGAAAATAAAAAATAAATATTAAAAATATCAAATAATTAAAAACATTAGGATAAATTTGGCAAAACTATTTTGAAATAATTTTGCCAGTGAATTCATAAGCGATTTTGATTTCCTCTCTTGCAAAACAAAATTATTAAGCACCATTATTGATATCGTATTCAAACTCAACGTAAATAAAAAATCAAATTTAAAATAAATTCAATAGGATATCATTTTATTATAAAACCATTGTTCTCTTTAAATGACTAACTTGATAAAATATATAATAATTATGATTATAAATTTTCTAAAATTTCTTACTTTTCCAATGTAAGAACTTTCTATGAATTTTTTTTTGTAAAAACCTACTTTCTTAGAAATAATAATAACCTGCCTCTTAATTTATATATTTTTAGTATATTTTAATTTATTTTCATCTTTGAGTTAACTCCTAATCCTTTCTCTTTTAGCCATCATTTTCATTTTCTCATAATTTGATTCAAAAGCAAAAAGTTACCAATAAATTATGTTATTGAACTTGTTATACATTCTTCATATTTTTATTATTGTCTAATTTATTTGATGTTTTGAGAATTTTAAATGTTTTTTTAGAACTTTTATTCGCATATGAATCTGTAGACGAATGTAATAGAGGTGATGAGGGACCGAACAGACACAGCATTTGGAAGGGAATTACATGCCACGATTTGGGCAGACATTTGCGAAGTGTGATGGATCACCACAAACGTAACACCTTCTGCCGGATATGGGATCCCCGGTTGCTGACACGAATGTCACGTCAGCAGCACGCGCTCCATTTTGGCCGAATCGACCACGCCCACCACCTCCCCTGCTGGAATTAGATGCTGAACCGTTGATGCCCGCACGGGGAATGCTTCTTCCTCCACTCCCGTTATTGTGGTCATCCTCCCATCTGCATGAACAAGGTTTGATTGAGTAAGCCAGCTATCAGAAAAAGCAGGACAAGATTTATTTTAGATACCTTCCTCTTCTGTGTATGTTGTTCCAAATAAAAAGCATAGTTCCAGATTAACTTACATGAAGAAGTTGCAATCCTGTGATGGACATGAGTAGAACTTTCTTCCCCTGTTATTTGCTGTATTAGCAGTTCGTAATACACACGGTGTACCACATGTGCTACACGGTACTGAAGGTTCCCCTGCATACATACATAGAAATATCATAAAAATAGACTTCCGATCAGCTTGTGGTGGGTTCAGAATCGAAAGTTCTGCTACAAGGAAACCATTTCAAAATTGAACATTTCAGCAGCCAATGAAGGTCCAAGTAGACATGACAGTGAATTATGTTCTTCTCAACACTAAGCGTGCATGCCTATGTCCTAGAGGCCAGTGTCTGTTACAAGGACCATTAACAATAATGATAGTTAAGCTACACTGCACAGGAAGTCAGTCCAAATAAAACCTAATATTTGCTTACGGCCCCATATGATGCATCTATAATTGTGAGTGAAGCACTTCTAATAGAGTTTTATCAAGAAGAGAATACTATGTGCAAAGAGCTCAGAGTATTGGATTGATATACTTTCTAAAGAGCTTCATCAGAAAAGCTCTACAAGCCTTCCCCCACAAAAGATGTGTTGATCCTGGCTGTGGCAGAAGGCTCTGTTAAGTATTAAATGATTGTGATATAAGCCTCTACAACATAAAAGGGCTTTATAGCACAAGAAAAACAGCTGTTAAAGCATTTTCGATGCTTAGGGGGAATTTAAAGGCAATGCTGTATCAAACTACGACTTAATAATGAATCAAATTTTCACTTTTAGGAACACTTCACTATAATCTTTACGATGCAAAGTTGGCATGGGACAGAAAGAGGGGAAATTTCCTTTTTCTTTTTTATGCAACTTTGATCAGGTGAAAAAAATTCTTTTAAAAAGAAAGAAAAAAAAAGGAGAATAAAGGAGGATTTACAAATATAAAATAAGACAGGTGAGGAGTAAGGGTTCTTGTTTATTTTGATTCTAACATATAACTATACTTGCAGTATACTTTATTTTTGTTTGGTTCTAGGTTATATCAGGTTTTGCACAGGTCAAGTCTGTCATTAGAGTGGAACAAGTTCTTTCCATTTCTAAGAAAGAAAAGGACCATCTACATATCCTCCAATTTATGTTTATATAAAATATTAGCAATGGAAATTTCTATAGTTTTTCTTAAATTTAAATTCAATCAAATGGGATTTACAGAAAAAATACCCCTCTATCCCAATAAACTTAAAAATTTTGAACTTTGACCTCTATATATTCTGTATTTATCACTGATAAAAATAGGAAAAATGTTTTCTAAAATCTATGAATGAAGTACTTTACACACACACACACACGTATAGTAAAATTTAATTAATTAAAATATTTAAAATAATAGATGTCAAGTTGTAAAAATTTGACCAACAAAAAGTCAAAATGTGACAAGTTTATTGGGACAGGGGAAGTATGTGTGTGTGCGTGTGTGTGTGTGTGAAGTGTATACCCAAAGTAAGTTTATGGTTGGGTGTTATTTTATTTCAGGTTTGGATCGCTTTGGGTCCAAAGTCACCTTGAGTCCAGGTTGTTTCAGGTTTGAGTTGCTTTGAAGATGGGTCATTTCAAGTTCAAATAACTTAGCACAACTTTTCATTTACTTTTGGATCAGCCTGGGCTGGGATCAGGTCAGATTTCTATCCGATCAAGCCAAGTTCTTTAGCTTGGGTCAACTATTGCCACCTCTAATCAAACCTGGCATTGAACTCCAATCTGGAGTGTTGTTGTATTATGCTCAAGCCTTTTGCAAGTATAAATTTAACTATTATTACTACAAGCAAGCAACACTTGTTCTTTTCATGAATATTTAAGTTAATTAAACAGAAAAAAGAGTTCATCTTGCTTACCATTTTGTGAGTTTGTACGAGATCTAGAATTTCGTGAACCTGAAAACTGTGAAGGGCAATCATTTGAAAAATGGCCTGTTTGCTGACAGTATAAGCAAGCACCCTGTCTGCTGCTACTTCTCTGGACATTGCTGGACGTTGTAGTGGGTCCTCTACCTCGTGCTGCATAACATATTGAACAAAAATAATAATTTTTATGTTCAACTACTAAGCTAGATATGATTTCCTCAAGAAAGAAAGGAACATTTAATATTCATATATTTGACAAACACATACTTATATACTGTCAAATAACAATATTTCTCATCTTGGTTTTTGAAAATGCACATATAGACAATCAATATTCTAAAATAGCATAAGAAGTAGATAGGGCACTATAAATTGTGTGGACAAGATGCAATATACTGTAAGTGCAACATTCAGCACAAATATGGAAACAACTTAGCAGAATATCAATTAAATGTTAATTTGGAAAACTTAAAATGGCTAAGAATAAACTGCTAGTCAGTTCTTATGAATCACATTAAGGGATAATGAAAATGATAAGTGTTATGACTTTCATCACCACCAACAGATCCATAAATGAAGTGTTATTCTTCCTTTTGATCTTCGTGATTACTCAAGATAAACAAGTATACGGACCTGACATGCGAGAACCTGTTCCACATATTTCTATCAGTTGTCTAAGTGTATCATCACAGCCGCCAATGCAACCTGAGTATGTAGGCAAGAAGTTCTTCAGCACTCTGTAAATCTCACAATCTAATTTACATTGAAAGAATTCTAGATGACTAACAAACAGCATTGAATATGAATATAGGCTGGATCCATTTCAATATACATGTTTAAGAACAAACAGGGCCTAGACAAAATGGAGCCATGTCGACTGATTATATCAGTACAAGGAAAAAAAACAAGAAATAAATCCACATTCAGAACATAAAAGTGTTCTATTTAGCAAAAAACAGAATGGAAATTGTCCAAAGCATAAACGGTTCATTTATGCTTAAAGGTATTGAATTCACAAGTTATTTAGTTAAACTTCAATTTATTTTATTGAAAGCGAAAGACAAGTAGGTCATAGCTTTAGTATAACCTAATGGACAATCGTTCATGGTGCCAGTCATCACAATATCTAAGGTTTCCTACTTGCACTCTCTCCCTCTCTCTTTGTTTGTGTTTGAGTAAAAGAGAATTTGAAATGAAACTTCCATATAAATACTCTCCTAAGATACAACAAAAGGAATCAGCTCTAAGACAGCAAAAAAATTAATAACAACAATATTGAATGAATTATTCTAACTTATCATTTGGTATCCAATGATTTTGCTCTCATCTAAAGAGCGATTCAACTCTGAGGAGAAATTGTTTTTTTGGTGGCCAGGAAAGAGAAGGTTGTGAATTAAAATTATTCTTTTTTTTGCCATTACAATAACATTATTCTTCGCTGAAATATAACGTCAAACAATCTTTGCTTGATTCTAAGAAACATCTTGTGAAGGAAAGGTGGTGAAATGGCTGCAGAAAGCCTTGGTTGTATGACATGCAACTAATGTCAAAACCATTTACAAATGAAAAAGAAGAAAGAAATGTGGGTAAAAGAAAGAAGAACAACGAGAAATAAAAGAAAAAAAAAAACCTGAAAGGAACAATTATTCACCTCAAGAAACCAAAACAGTACCTCTCATTTTCACTTTTTTTTTGTTCACAGCAGTTTACTTCTCATTAATCATCAGCTATTTTGATTTCTGCTGATTACATAGACATTTATAAGCAGCAACATTCTTCCCTCTAAATAACATAGGAGTCAATTTGGAAACTATAGAAGGATATTATTACATTTTCAACAGTAAAAAAAAAAAGAAACAAAGCTACAAACAGAAGGCCCAAAGACAGCTAAGCCAACATGCTTACATATATATATGTGTGTGTGTGTGTATAAACTCACATGAAAACAAATCCACAAGCACTAAGATACCTGACACTCTAAAAGAGCAATAGGCACATAATACTTGCTCAAAAATTGAACAAACTCAAACATGAAAGCTTCAGAATGAGGACGTGCACATACTAATAATGAATAATTCTTTTATTCCCAGGTATTAGTCTGTTTGGCATTGAGTGGTCAAAATTTCATCTTTGACCTTCACTTTAAATTAAAATTTCAGGAAAAACAATCATTGGAAACTTGAAGTCAAAAGTTTTCCAAATTTTGAAAATTTGTAAATAAATGTTTAAAATAGCAGTGGTACAAACTGAAAGCTTTTGACAGCAAAAGGTCAAAACTAGATAATCATTGAGAGACAAAGAATACTAGAATTTAGAATACACATATATTTGCATGTGCAAAAGTTTCATTTTTTTTAATTTAATTAAGGCACATGCGCATGCTTACACACATCTTACTAACAAACAGAGAAATATTTTAAAACGTAATAAATTAAACTAAACAATCATGGAAAGATGATAATAAGAAACATTTATTAGAACAGAATAGTGTGGATAAAAAATGGGAACACAACACTGATAAATAAGAATCAGGAGAAAATGTCCTGAGATGGATAAAGTCAACTCACTTGAAATATTAAAAAGGAAGGACCTACTCTTGAAATGGAGCCCAGGTTTGTATTATACCAACTTAACTCATTCACATTTATATAGATATTTTTAAGGATAACAAAAAGAAATCATGCAAGTTTGATGTAAAGGCTCTACATGTCAGTGGAACTATACTCTTACCCAGATGGTTGGCATTGAAGCCAGGTGGTATTTCAAGCTGGCGAAACTTAAATTGAATCAAGTAAACAGGACCTATCAGAACAAGGGAAAAGTTTATCATTAAAAAAGTATATCCCATACATGAAAGCAGATGAACACATTGCTAAGAATCATGATGGAGACAATATACATCACATGCACACTTTGAATAAGGTGGCACATCTGAATGGGCACCATGTGACAGTGCATAAAACAGACATACTTGTTATACTATGCTTTTAAAACTATTAGTATGACAATGAATCTCAACTTGTCACAGGCAATGAGGACAACTTGGGATTGTCACATCTAGCTTCAAGCCCTTACCTGATAATAATGGATTGCAATGAATCTACATCTGAAATATTCACTGATCCCCAACAAACTAAACCAAGTCTGCACAGACAATCACTGCTAGCTACACTTGAAGAAACAAAATCAAAAGTAAATACCTGGATTGCAGGAGCCACAAATATTACTGGTTACTGCTGCTTCCAATACAGATCCAGGGAGCCAAATAGCATTCCTACACTGATGAGTGTATCAACAAGGTGTCACAAAATTACATACAACACAGAAAAAGAGAAAGACCACATTAGCCTGATAAACCTAGAAATTCATATAAAAAAATAAAACTAGATTAATATAAGAAATAGGACATTGGCAGGGTATATTTTTCAATAAGTTCAACGGTCCCACCTCAAGAATCCATTAAGCATTAAGTAGTGAAGGAAGTATCAGCTTTTTCCTAATACAGTAGTTCAGTTTAGAAGGTTGGTATATAGGTACAACCTCTATTTTGTCATGGTACAATCATGGATTGATTGGATTTTATTTCAAATACAATGTAAAGGCAAAGAAAGCTACTTTTCAGAAATACATGCTTTGCTGAGAAGCATTTTCATAAGAAAATTCTACATGGCACCCATCTAGTTATAATTGAAAGAATAACCTTATTACTTCATGAAAGGGACCAACATGGTAATTCTTTCTTCAATGTAAGAACATTCAACTTATTAGTAATTTATAATAAGAAGAGCAATAATTCCATGAAAATTAAAATTAGGTAACCAGGATCTCGTTTTCAGGATAGAGCACTCAAAATTGCAAACCTTTAGTGATCTGATTCATGTTATAAGTTCGTATGTGCAGTAAGGGTAAAGTCATCTATTATACCTATACCTCTTAGTATAAACAAAGAGGCTACTATATTGTTAGGTAGGTCTAATGTTTTCTCCCTACAATTTTAATTGTCTATGTTAGCATGGTATCAGAGCATTCGCTCCTGGTAATCTTGATCTTCAAACCCTGACCCTTCTTCACCTAATATTTCCCCTTCATCTATTTGTGAGTTTCCACCTAATTCTTCCACTTGCCTGAGTCATCCTAACCAGTAGGTTTATACTTGTCGAAACCATGAAGCAGTTAGCAACCAGTTGAAACCATAAGTCATACAAATTTCTTTTCCAGCCTGAACAATCCAGGTTCTCCATGTCCTTTTCTTATTCAGGCCTACAAGACCATTACCATCAACTCCAGAAATCTTTCTCAAAAAAACTTGGAAAGATCCTATAAAAAGGTAATCTCAAACCAATTAAAAATGGACAGATAATTATAACTAACAAGAAAAATCAAAGTGGTTATGATGCACTGACCACATTTGTTGGTGGTGATACTAATTATATGTGGTTATGACAGTAAGAGCTCGCAACTTGTGTGCTACAATCAATGAGGTTGAGGAGCACAAAAGGGAAAGAAAAGATCCTTTGCTGTCTCCTTCTCCATTCTGGTGAAAATAACCTTTCTAGACTTAGCTTTACCATGGAATCTCCTTTTCCAACTCACCAAACAACTATCATATATGTTTTCTTCTTTTAAAACTATGCAACAAACTTTGGTTACCACACATGTTTTTTGTTTTCAGAATATTGCAAACCAAAGGACACCTTAACTATCTATCTGGCACAAGTTTCAGTTAATGTTCACGTCTGAGTGATATATTAGCTTTCTATAATTCATATTTTAGACTATCAAATAAACCCAGGCACTGACCTGCGGAAAACCCAAGCATCCAACCATGAAGTTGCCATCCTGTTGGAAAAGAAGTATAATGGTTCATAAGAAATTGAAGGACTTGACTGCTCACAAAGGATGCTGTTATAATATCAAAATAGCTTAAATATGGTTACACAGTAAGGCAAAAACATGAAAGAAATTAATGGTCATGGAAATCATAATGCACCAGAAAAATTAGGCTTAAAATTAGAAACTCAACATTTTAAAGATGCCTATCCCAGATATTTGGCTAACAAACATGATCTTATCTCTCCAGTGAGCTTGATGAAACATCTGTCATATCACAAATCTTAATTTATTTCTTGTTTTATTAACCAGTACTCTTTGTAATAAACTTACACATCCCATTGGCATCTAAGCCAACTACCATTCTTTGGACAATTTGGTTTTTTATTTTTCCCTAATTTCAATAGGAGACACCAAATTGAAAGCCTAAGCTTGCCCTAATCTAGCCTTTACAACATCCTTTTCTAGTTGTTGCACATGAGGTAACTCAATTTATCATGAATGGTTACTACTGTTATAAAATTGACATTCTCAAAAACCCTTATTCATGTGCAAATAGTAGTGGTCTCAGAACCTAAGAACACCTGCTTACTTCTTCTACATTCCCAGTGAGGGCTAGATTATATCACTAAAAGACTTAACCTGTGGTCCAATTTCTATGTAAAGGAAAACAACCCAAGTCACTATATCATTAAGACAAAAAAAACTGATTTAGAAACACTTCAAATTCACCAGACAGTAAACATACGGCCAAATACTATAGCATACAGGCAATAATAGAAATCCATTTTGCATGAGAAAGACATTGATCCATTTTGCATGAGTAAATATTGACGCTCTCACATAGCACAAAGCTCAAGTAGGGGCCTTACCTACAACCACTATCTTTATAATTATGCATAACAAAAATTATATCATCTCAGCGACGTCATCTAGAATGCAAGATGAGGGAAAGAACAGATGACTTGAATTAAGATAATTACAAGCGAAGAAGAACAATACTGCACAGAAGATGAGAAATGCAACTAATGTCCAATACAAAAACAAAACACCAAGATACCACAAAATAGCCTCTATAATCTAAATGAGAAATTGAATTAATGTCATGCATACACGGTTTTTCTTCAGCACCATAGAAGATTCTCGGCAAAGTCCACACTGCCTAACCACTTCTCCAGCTGCATGGTTGTCGTCCCCAGCAGCTTGATTTGATCTGCATAAGTAGTTAGCATAATAGCAGTGGCAATATTTGCTACTACAATGTAGGGAATTAATAAACTACCTCTCGAAGAAAACTGCCAGAGCCTCTAATAATTTCACTTTATTCAATCTTGCCTGCATATGATATTCAGCTTGTCATAAAACATGACATCAACCAAAGGCATATATGGACACATCAACCAAACACCATAAATGTATGTGTGTGTACATATATATATATATATATATATATATATATATATGAAAGGTGATAAATGTATATATATGACTTTTGACCTTTCTTATATCACTGAAATCCTATATTTGGTGTACCCATTTTGATTTGACTAAAGGATGTTTCAATCTATTCTAAAAACTTTGAAATATTGAGATTTTTCCCTCTTCCTTCCATTGTTTCTTCTATTTCTTTCCTACCCTCTAATTTCTTAATCTCCCTTATCCCCTCCCTTTTTTGTCCATCATGCATTATGATAATCCAAATGGAGAAATTATATAATTTAGGAACTTAATATAGTAGTTTAAAATTTCATGGTTTCGCAGGTAATTTTATATCTATATTTAGGTAATTTAGGTTATTTAGCTTATTTTATTTCAGTTACTCTTACTTATTTACCAAGTATTATAAATACTTATTTTCAATCTCAATTGCTTTGGATTATTGAGACATTATAGAAACAGAGATTAAATTATTGAGATATTCCCATGCTTATGCACTTCCTCAATTTCTTTTGTTTCTACCTCTGATTGCTTTGTTTCTTCTCCTTTCCCCTCTGACTTCTTTACTTCATCTATTCTTTTTCTTTCCCTATTTAATTTATAATGCGTCATACATCAAGGTTTGATTTGTCTTAAGGAATTCTTTTCCTCCTTCTCTCCCCCTTCCCCCGCCCTCCTCCTCTCTGCGTCCTAAATCCTTTTAATTATGCAAATTTTACACTAAACAAACAGTGTTCCCTAGCATAATTACCCAGCAAAATAGATTCCACAAGCAAATAAATATGTAGAAGCAACTTACATCTAAGAAGCAAGCTTTCATCTGCTGCAAGCAAGTGGCTAAAACTTCATCTTTTCTCTTATTGCCTACACTAACCTCTTTCATGTCAAACTCCATCATTGATCTGAGATTTGGCTTCCAAAGTTCATGCCTGATCAAAAATATTCCATGATGAATGACAGAAAAAAACTAAGAAACAAGAATATTGTAATTATGATGCAACCACTTGCATGGGCCAATAAAAAAACTATCCAACTAGCATACACTTATTGAGTGACTGCAATTAATGTGGCAATCTGTGGAGACAACATTGTTGTCATTTTGGACATAGATGTAGGCTTTTGACAGACAACTTCCAATATGGAAACAGGGTTGCAGCTTATTAGGGAACCAAAATCAATAGCAACTGCTCAATATTGCATGCTCTTTAGATAAATTTATCTACATTCTCGAAAAAATTTTGCAAAGGTTGACCACAGGTTAACACAAGGATTCTTTTCTCCAGTGCCCAACAGGGCAATTTCTCAATCAAAGAAGTGTCCAAGAAAACAGAGAAAGGAAGAAAATATGCACCACATTTCCATATGCTTTACAACCCACTAATTGCCTCTCTAAAAAAGCTCATATTGAACTTGGAAAACATTTGTATAGAGTGAAATGCATCTCCTACATATTATGAAGTAAAACATCATTTGCAAAGTTGACCAGATTTCTTCTCCAAAGTAAAAAAAGTACTTCTTCATGCACATTTAAGCTTGTTAGATTGCTTTCTTTTATTTCTTGTTTCTCTTTTTCCTCTTAAAATCAAATCGTTCAGAAGAATGAAGAGAATTTTAAAGATAATGGGGACAGAGAATAGGAGAATTGTAGTTTTAAATATTTCAAACTCACACACTGTCTGTTGATATAGGTTAATTTTTTACACTAGCCTTATTTACAAACAGACAAAGAACTTTTTAATTTGTGTATAATGGAACTGCTTCTGAAGACAATGCAGTTATGGTAGGCAGCATGAAGGTCGATAGTGCTTGCAATCTGACTGTTAGCACATCAGATAATCCCTTAGTTTACAAGTGATTCACACATGGGAAGCATAGACTAAGTCAACATATCTGATTGATTGCTGACAGTTTATTGTTAACAGTTTCATTGTGGTTCC